ACCCCCCAAAAAAAAAAGAGTACTTGTATTGTTGTTATGCAAGCTAGACTCTGCTTTGTAGCTAATATAAGATAACTAAATGTAAAAAAAAAAAAGTGAAATTCAGTTTGTTTTACCTGTCGTATTTTAAGATTCGTCTCCCCATCTAGATTAGCTGTTTCAATATAGCACATGGCTTGTGGTTCACTGTAAGGAGCATAAGATTTTCAATATTAAAACTCAGTACTTTTTGTATACTACTTTTGCACTAAAATGGTCCACAATAAAACCTCAATACGCTACAAGACAAAAATACATATTGGTGGTATATGACCAGGAAAGAACCAGCTGAAAGTACGCATTTTACAGAGATGTCTTTGGATATGAACACTCTCATACAACAAATTATAGAGAAAGACAAGTATAAATCAGAAGGTTAATAAGAATTTAACAAGTCATGATAAACTTAGATGCCTGAAGTGGACTATTTTACATTGCAATCCATAAAATCGCTTCAGATTGGAAGAGCTATAGATAAAATACAAAAGCACTGAACAGTGTAAAAAAGGGGATGTGCTTGAATGAACAAGGTAGTGCTCTCCACTATTGAGTTCCATCTGTGAACTGTGCTTACAAAAGATCATGGCCACAAGATCACCTTAAAGTTGAGGGACTTGTGGAGGTACATCTGAAGTCACTGCTAATCAGTTGGGGTTTTTTTGAGAATCAGAAAAAGGTACAGTAAGATTGAAACTGAGGGCTGCGATCTGCATCTTCCAGAGATGCTTCTGCCCTTACCACTACGGAAAAAAGAAAAATTTTTCTCAGAACTGTGAATTTTCCATTAGTCAATGTCTTATCTACATCTAACATGGAGGAGCTCTGCATAGGTAGCACCTGTGATAAGAAAGGGTACTTCTATCATCGATTTTTTTCCTGACATGCCCCTTAAGATTTAAAACCTCTGTATGGCACCACCAAAACTGTTTTTCCTGACTGTCTTCTCGGGCTTCCAAGGAATATCAGTTTCCCATCTGGACCCAAACATATGTTTCTTCAGCATATCTCTTTTCATACTCTTGAGATGTTGCTATTTCTTTTCCAAAGTAACCAATTGCTTTAACAGCAAGTGTACTTAATCAGCAGAAGAGTCAGTAATAAAGGCTCCTTAGGACAAAAATTGTTAATAAACAGACAGGTACATTTCTAACACAGTAAGAAGCTAGATTTTTCTCTCCAGAGAATTTTTCTTAAAAAAAAAGGTTCAGAGTCTGTTCTTTGTCTCCTCCTATATGGGCAACCTGAATCTGAACCAAAGAAAGCCACAGATTAAGTCCAGCTTGATTCCCATCTTACTTCTGTCACAAACACCTTATCTACTACAACTGAAGTGGTTAACTCAGGAGGAAGACCTCTTGCAAGACAACTCCTCTCATTTCCGCAGAAATGTGGAAGTATTTCCATACAAAGTTGTGTTTGGATTCAAATTTTTTTTTTTCCTTCATGTAAATTTATTCTCTATCTAAAATTCATTTTACGTCACCTTTATTCTATGAGGGAAAACAGGGTCAAGATAAAAACAACTGTTTATTGCACCTCTGACAGTCAGCTCAGACAGAAGATTAACACATACAAGCAAAAGACCCCACCCATTCAGAGCATGCAAAGCCTTCTGGTGAACTGAGGACATTTAGTATTGTCATTTAAAAGAATCATGGGAATAATACCAATTGTAAAGCAGAACTGCCATAGAAATTGCTATTTATTTCAAGCAAAGCTTCTCCCAAATCAACATACTTCGAGTTAAATTCTCCAGTTATTATATGATTATCAATGACAGCGGGTTAGTAGAATAATGTAGAATAAAAAGCTGACCCATGCAAGTTAAGAAATAGATCAGAAGGTTTTGTAGTATAATACATTAGAGGACAAGTTCTCAAGTAGAACAAATATTCCTCAGTGCTGAAACAACAAGTTATTGATGTCAACGTCTAGCCTAACTAACTGCATATTAAGGTTGACAACTGCATATTTAAAATTTGGGGTTTGTTTAAAAAAAAAAACCCACAATATTGTATATCATGGAATGAAGATATCACTCTATCCTTGATCACATGACAGTTAGAAAAGACTGAGCTTCCCCATACAGCTTTCAAAAAAATGAAATCTCCCAAGAATAGCACAGACAAGAAGGATGGAGCAGAAAACGCAATAGCTTAGAAAACAAGTTCCCTTAGAAGTTGGGTCATCCAAGAGAACTGTAACCTGGAGACCAGAGCAACCTGCAGTCACTGTTGAAAAGCATGTGGACAGAAGGGAATTATGGAGACAAGCAAGGTGTCATAAGGTTTGACCATTAGAAAAAAGCATGTTCAAGAACAGGAACTGCACTATGATCTCATTTAAATCTCATCTAAGTGGAGAGTGGTCTTGATTCGGCCTCAAGTTGTTCAATACCATATAGGATCTAGATTAGCAGCCAAGTACCACTCAAATGCTTTTAGGAACTAGCGACCAAGCTTTGTTAGCCAGCACATGGGTATAAACAAGTTGTCCCATATTTCACAAATGAAAATGAACAGTACTCAACATTTACTGTTGCTACCATGTGAGGGGTGGGCTATATGTGCGCTGTATCAAAGACAAGGAGTAAACAAGTGAACCCCAAAAGCTATTTTGCAGGCTATTAATTAGATGCCAGCTGTGCTAACCTTTTAGAATTACTGTTTGAAAGACAAATCTTTCCTGAGGGGCAGGAAAATATGCTGGAAACTTAGTGGAATTAATTGGAAGAAAACTTAAGCTTCCTTAGTTAAATGGAGGGATCCTCAGAAGGTCATAGAGCAACTGACTGCATGAAGCTTGTCTAACAGACCTTCAGTCTTCCAACAAACTCAGTGATACACTTCATGAATTACAGGTACATAATACTATGAAGTTTAAAAAAGTCTTCTTTCTTAAGAACTTATCTATAACGATACATGAATCATTGCCTAGTAAAGCACTGTTTTGACATTGTTAAAATTTAGATGTGGAGAACTAGTGCCATCTGATGCCTGTTTTTATTAATAGCAAATACAGAGTTTAGAATCCTCTGCACCTCAGTTCATCAGACACATCATTTCCACACCCATTCAGGATACCTGGAAGATAAAATGATCATGTCTGCTGGAAGATGTTGCCCATTGGTGACCTTCACAATATCTCCTACTGCTACCTGTTGAGTCAGGGGCAGGAGTACAGTAGCATGGAAGAGAAAAACAAACAGTTTTCTTGTCTGGAATGTTAGTTTGTTATTTTCTTTTACCCAGTCAAAAGAACAGCATCATGCACGGAACAGCTAAAGACAGTACTTCTGAAAGTCAGAGTACTTTTCACTGCAAGTTTGTAATTATCAAAGCCTTCTCTTTTCTGAATGCAAAGTAAACAATTCTCTATAGGAAAAAAAAGAGATACACTCAACTGGAAAGTGTGAACTTCTGTGGCTTATATTTAGTAAAAATTATTTTTCTATAATCCTGCCATTATCCAAATTTGAGGGTTTTTTCCCTTTAGTCTTATTTAACCTACAGAAAATTTTTTTCTAATAAAAAGTTATCTTTAAACTTTACCTTCCTCAAATATCAGGAGTTTCTCCTATTCCTTCTCCATATTACTTACCTACCCAGTCATCACTATCATTTTCCCTTAGCCCTCTTTAGATGCAGTACTTCTAGTAGTCACTAGCAAGGAGTATTGTCTTTACAGATAGTATCAAACAGTTCTTCCCTGACGTATAGTCACTTGAAATGTGCAAAATCCTAATTTCTGTAATACCAAAGACCTAAGAGTTTCTGGCACCTTTAATGGAAGTCACACATGCATGGGACTCTCATTCTAAGAAGGAACGAAGTAGCACACTCAAAACAGTAAGCCAGGCTTGCCTAATGAGTATCAGACTGGTTAGCACCAGTGCACTCCCAAGAGTCTGAAATAGGCTTAAAATATTTTTAACACATTAATTTATAAAAATTGAAACAGATGGCATGTTTCAACAGGCAGATTCATTAGCCTTACTCCGATCCCACTGAAAACAAATTCCCTACCAATTTCAGCACAAAAAAGATCAGAAGTCTGCCTTAAAGTAAACCAGGTGGGTAGTACAGAACCGTTATCTCCTAACAGTAAATGCAATCCTGGACAATACGCGGATGCAGACGCAGGCCAATTCAAGAAGTGCTTAAGGGTATAAGATTCCAGGCTCAGCTTTAAATATCTTTCAATTCAGTGTCCTCATTACAAATAGGACATGGAACAGCATTACCCATCAGAATCCCTGGCAACCTTTAGTTTCTACTATAGCCTAACGCGTCAGCAGGATTGCTTTTAGGTCTCTTGAGGTGGGTCTCATTTCCCAGAGGTTTTAAAAGGGTGTACTTTTCCTCATTTATTAGTTAACAGGGCTGATTTTGTCCTTAAAAAGGTATTAAGAGCCATGATTAGATCAATACATCCTGAGGGATTTCAGCAAGTTCTAGAAATAAAGCCCACCAGGTCCTGGCACAGAGCTTCACAGAACATGGGTCCTGAGTGCCTAAGGCAGCAGCAGGGCTTGTGTTCCTTACTTGAGCAACAGCTTACTAATTAGCCTCAAAACGTAAGAACTTTTTAGCACAGATAGCAAAATCTGTTCGACTTTCAGGGGAGGTACAGCATTGCAGTGAAAGTTACTCTTCTAGATGTGGACTGAAAACAAAATACTGTTTATACCCTGGAGCACATTAACTGTCCAAGCAAGAACACTTACAACAGTTCATTAGCATTTGACAGAAACATAGTACTAGGATTTAAAGATGGGTACTCAGGTGCCCTGCTCAGGGCAATTTTCACTATTGCAACAGAAAGGATCCCTCCCACCCCAAGTCACAGGGAATTCTCACATAGTGTACATTAACTCTAGGCCTCTGAATTTATTCCAGCAAAAGTAATTCTTGAACACCTTCTTCCATTCCCTCCCATCCGCAATTTTATTTACCTCTTTCCACATAATGTTCTGCCACATCCCATTTCTTAGAACTGGAAAGAAAGTTTAAGTTAAGAACGTTAGATTAGAATAAATACTCAAGATTTGGACACATTTCAAAACAACTGTATCAGCAGTAGTGAACATTAACCAGAATGAGAACTAACACACACATCAGAAAAGTACTTTTCAGAAGCTGGGACCACACTTTTGTCCACAGCTGTAGGCATGTGCATCTTCTGAGGAAGAATATGCCCTTAGTATTTATATTATATCTTTTTTATCACCTGCTCGACAACAGTTGGTGGCCTGATCTCTTCTTGGCATCATTTCATACTAATGCAAAGATGGGCAGTGCTGTTACTTCTTTGTGAAGTGACCTTCCTTAAAACAAAGGGCATTATTGCCCACTGTCAATCAATACCAGGAAGCATCTTTACTCTATGTATGATTTAACCACAGAATTTTCACTTCTCATCTTTTTCCTTGCATTTTATTCATTATTTTTGGGCTCTGACACATGCAATCTCACTACAATATAAGTTCCCCTTATAGGGCTGAGGCCTAACTGTCAAGCAGGCTCTAAGTCCCACTGAAAAGCAAAGCTCAGCTTTGGCAGAAGGAGAATCGTAAACACTGAAGCTCACACCGAAATAAAAAAAGGAAACAAGGTACTGAAACAGGCCTTGGCTTCTGTAGTGCCCAAGTCCTATACTGCTGTCTTAACACATTCATGGGTCACCTACTCTGGAACATGCTTTTCCACCCCAGTAGCTCCTCTAGATGCTTCCACACATACTTAATACTACCCTAGCCTAAACAGCAAGGTCAAAAATTTATGCCCAATCATTGCTAAGCAACCAAATCCAGTCCAGGTCTGAACACACCAAGTATACCTAAACAAACTCAAACCCTTCACTGAAAGCAGTTGCGGCCAGTTGTTAAAGATGTTCAAAAAGTGTAGTGTGCAACAGATCAAAGTTGAAGCAGCCAGCCCCCTACTTGGAATAAATTTTCTCTTCAGTTCTATGCAATTCACATACGTACCTCATTTGAAAATCATACCAAATTCCCAGAATATACAATTCTGCTGAATACAGCCTCAGACATCCTACTCAGGTTAGGGCACTCCCCAAACAGGAATGCAAGATTTGTCAGACCAAATCAAGTACAAGCAAGCCATGTCTTGATGCCTGTCCCCAGGCCACACACTTTGGAGCACTGAATCCTGAGATTTAATACTACAGTGGATGGATCACAGTGAAGTAAACTATTTAACAAAAAATGGGTGGGTAGCAACAGAAACACTCCTAGTGATGCATCTAAACTGCTGAGCTTCCACCCAAACAAGCTGCAGTTTAGGGGAAGAACAATTTTGTTGCACCCCTTCCTTCCCTCTTCTAAGCTGTGCTTGATTGAGCTCTGCTTAGTTCAGAACACAGAAGACCTGAGCCCAGAATCTCAAGTGAAAAAGCCACATACCTGCGGCCTTGACGCAAAACCCAAACCCTCAGAGAGGAATTGTAACACTTAGCATCTCCTGTACCTTGCTTTAAACAGCTCCCTGTTCCACCAGAAAATTTTGGAGATGTTTCAGCAAATATTTCACATTGTTGTAGGTTCACATGCAATGAAGATATTTCATAGCTTCAAGTGCCATGAGCTTGGTCTTGTAGACAATTTACTTAAGAAAACAATTTATTTTTCATGCTTACTGAAATAAATTTAACTAATAAAATTACTTAGTTAAGCAAATTACTGAAGCAACTATTTTTTTTTAAACTTTAACCCCACAATCTAAAGAGGAAGCTTCCATTAGACATAAAACAGAAATTTTGGGGTTGCAATTTTGCACCTTCTACTCTGCCTAAACCCAGTTTTCTGTCCTTTGGAGTACTCCTATAAAAGACTGTCTTCTCTAGACTCTAGAATATTTATAGGAGGATAAAATTGATGAATTATTCATTGCCAAAAGGTATTTGGTTAAACTAAAAAAGAACAAGTACCTAAAAGGACTGCTCCCACCCAAAATTAAAGTTTCAATATAAACTTTCTAAGACTAAAAAACAGTATATTTATGTTCTAGATCTAGGACTTAATCCTGTCACGCACACCTAGGTGTGCAAGGCCATTTGAAGTGCTGCTCCTGAAGGGCAAGCATCTCCCATCAGTCTTGTGCAATAGTTTGCTAGCCCAGTGCTTGTCTACTCTTCGAGGGCATCCCATAGAGTATGAAATGCTCATGGCTTATTCTATAATTTGACAATGAGAGGATCAATACCTCAGAAGAGTTATTACTGAGCTCTCTACATATGTTGCTCAGGGGCTTCACTTGGGATTATATTTAGTCTGGTCCCTAGATTCAGTGTCATCTCCACATACACCATGTGAAGCCGTCTAAGACATGAAACACTGGCTCAGAGCCTAACATGCTCCAGCTCCTAATGGAGACGTACAGTGCTCACCTGGAACAGAACTTTCCATTTTAGTTTCCTCCAAAGAGGATTTAATTCCTACATACCAAAGTGTCCTGGTTTCGGCTGGGATAGGGTTAAATTTCTTGCTAGTGCTGTGTTTTGGATTTAGTATGAGGAGAATGTTGATAACACACTGATGTTTTCAGTTGTTGCTAAGTACCCTCCTAGTCCAAGGACAGCTCCCATGCCTACTGACTGAGCTAGGTACACAA